TAACCTAGCCCTCCTGGGTATCAGATCATGGACACACACACAGGTCAGCTAGTGTTGTGGGCCATCCACCAGAGAAGATTACTCAGACACAGGGTTTCTCAGTGTAGCTTTGGAGCCTATCCTGGCACTCCCTCTGGAGACCAGGCTGGCCTCGAACTCACAGAGATTCGCCTGCCTCTGTCTCTTCAAGTGCTGGGATTAAAGGCATGCGCCACCAATGCCCGGCTCAGACACAGGTTTAAGTCAATACAAAGTCTTCATTAGCTGGCCAGCAACTACACTGGGTGTTCAGGATCCCAGTGTAGCCCCAAGCCTTTCTCAGGCTGAGCTTTTAAGCACAAAGTCACATCCTGGGTTAACACAGCTCAGTTAGCAAGAACAGTTAGCTAGAAAAAAAGAACTACAGAAACCAAAAAGCAAGGTTAGTGCATTTAGAGACTTTCCCAGAACTATGGACTTTAATGGGTTAGGCCTTTGTTTTCTTTTTGACAAGTGATGTTGTCTACAAGCTGGGTTTTATGGCCTGAATGGTACTCCCACCATGAAGTCAGTTGTGCTAAGGCCTGGGGGTCTGTTACAGTTAGTACCTGCAATTTTTAGGAGACAATACCAATTTTAAATGGCCAATATTTTAATATGTCTCAGAAAACATAATTGAATCTATTATTTTAGGGCACAAGCAAGGCTGAGGTGAGAACTTCAGGTTTGTTTTTAAAGTAAATAGATTAGAAGGACTGGTGAGTTGGCTTAGCCTGTAGGGCGTTTAGCCACACATGCCTGGAGACCTGGCTTCAGATCCCTAGTACCCACTTAAAGCTTGGTAGGGCAGCTGTGGTGTCTAACTCCAGTGATGGGGGTGGGGTAGGGGGAGGTGGAAGCGACAGGCCAGTACTTGGGGCTGTCTGGCCAGCTACCCTAGCCAAATCCATGAACTTCAAGTTCAGTGAAAGACCTTGTCACATAAACGTCAGGGCTGGAAAAGTAACTCAGTAGCTGACCAGCATACACAAAGGCTTTGATTCAGTCCTCACCACACAAACCCCGTGTGGCAGCACATGCCTGTAGTCCCAACACTAAAGAGGTGGACGCCAGAGGATCCTAAGTTTTTAGTTATTATCTTAAGAACATATTAACTGCTATGTAGGCAGAAGTTTCTGCCCCACCAGCAGCTCCCAAATAAAAACACTGGCGCTTATATTAATCATTAATGCTGGGCCAATAGCTCAGGCTTTGTTACTATTTCATTCTTACATGTAAAACAACCTATATTTCTTATCTATGCTTAGCCATGTGGCTTGGTGCTTATTCTTAGTACGGCATGCCTATCTTGCTTCTCTGTGTGTCTGCTGGTGACTCCAGACTCCCCCTTCTTCCTCCCAGCATTCTGTTTGTCTCTCCCACCTACCTTATACTGTTTAGCTATTGGCCGGTCACTTTTTTATTAAGCCAATCATAGTTACATATATTCACGCCGTGTAAAAGGTTATTCCACATTTCCCCCTTTTTGTCTAATTAAAAAAGAAGGTTTTAATTTTAACATACTGAAATTATATACAGCAAAATGGTTATCAAGTAAGAATTTCAGTTACAATCTCTAGCCTATTTGTATTTGACAAAATTAGAGAAAATATTCTATTATCTACTTTATCTTTGTAACTCTAAAGTTTTGTACCTATTATGATAACTAAGAAGAATACTAACTATGATTATATAGTCTTCAACTCCACCAAAGATCCCAAAAGGATGAAATGTTACCTAATGACATCTGGCTGCCTAGACAGTCACCATAAGTTCTTCTATAATACTGGGGCATCCAACTCTGGCCTACAGGCCTAGCATATCTGACAGACTTTCCTGTGAAGTGAGAAATTTTGAAGAACTGTCCTTGTCTTGGCAAAGTCTGACAGTTACTTTCTTTTGCAACCTGCTGGTCCGGTTTGGACAGTAGTCAGCAATTGAGGCAAGGGCAGTTTTTGTGCCCATATGGCTAGCTTTTGCCATAAAGAAAGCAAACTCCATAAAGAGGTTCTTTGATACCCATCATCTTCTTTTGAAGTAAATTGATGCTGCCAGGCACAGACATGTCTCTGTGTCAAGAAAAGCCTTAGGTTATTAAACATATTAAATGTCATATTCTATGGCATTTGTGTTTGAAGACAATCTCTCTAAATATATATATGTATATGACCTTGAAAACATACCTAATATGACTGTATGTTTGACAAAGATAGGGTTTCTCTGTAGCTTTGGACCCTGCCCTGGAACTCACTTTGTAGACCAGGCTGGCTTCGAATTCACAGAAATCTTCCTGTCTCTGCCTCCCAAGTACTGGGATTAAAGGCATGTGCCACCACCACCCAACCTAATTTGTATTTCTTAATTATACATTACATTCTTAAATGAGTTGCATAAACACAATACCCCAAACAAGAGTAGAAATATACATGCAGTATAACAAATTAACTTTAAATTTCTATCAATATACCAAAATCCATACCAATGTGAAATATTTAAGACTAGTAGTTGTTTTTGGTTGAAAAGTAGATTCAATAATCTACCCTTCTATCATTTCTATATCCCCTCCTTTTAAGAATGAGATCACTGAGATCTATTTACCTCCTTTGTTTAGCTTTCTTACCATTATCAAACACCCTTAAATGATAACAAACATTTGTAACTAATATTTTGGGAATGTGGGTGTTGTTTTCTCTAGACTACTTTTTGTTGTTTGGGGCACTGGTAATTTTTGGACCTTGAGAAAATTTAGGATAATGATTAAGTCTTGGCTGTAGTATTCTGTGAGGCTGGATCATCTCAGTCAGCAGCCTTGAAGCTGTTGTGGATTCTGGATCACCTGGGCCATACATTTTTGTGTCTAGTCCCTTGTCCTGAAAATCCATAAACTTTGAAAGGTAACTTACATATCTGTATTATACAAGTATAGACTCTACATTGTACACAAACCAGCCAAAGATATTATTCTGTTTTATGTTTGAGCAGGTGAAATACGTTACATGTTTTGTAGTTAGGTTTATTTCTTTGTCTGTAGCCAGGATTTCAGGGGCTCTTCCTTGATCAAACCTGATCATCTTTAACCTTGAACAAATCCACTGTCTCTCATTTTCTGTGGGAACAAAAGCATAACTTCTTCTCCAAAGTAATACACTTTTTGACTTACATTTTGAAGTTAAGACTTTTTAAAATATATAGGTTGGTTTAATTTAGCAGTGTCTTAGCAACTATTGCCCCTTCCTCAACATCAAAAAATCCAAAGAAACACAGTAACATACAGTATACTGTATAGACTGTGTATTTTCCATCTTTACATGACTTTTTTATTTTATATGACTTTACTCCCTTTTTAAGGACTTTATTATTTTAAAACTATATATTTTTAAGCTGAGTGTATATACTCTTTCTTTTCTCCCCCAAGCCTATATATTTTTAAACACACTGTAACTTGTTCAGAGGTGTTTTGTTTTGTTTTTCATTTTAATCTGTGATTGCTACATATCTGTATTCTTTTTATGACTGCATGAGTCTTTAAACTGTTAAGCCACAAGGCTAGGACCTTCCACCTCTGTTTTTGCTGTTGGATCCCTCTGACAGGCAGCTGCCAGGAGACACTTTTCTGTACTGCAGGCTTTGTGAGAGACTTCAGGAACCTGCCAAGCAGCTTGTCTCATGGCAGCTGGTGGCTCTATACTGGGTGGCATGAGAGACACGAAACTAGGAATCTGGTCTTGTCTCCATTTCTGTGTGTCTAGAACCCTTTCCCAAGCTCTCCGGATGTAGTTGCTGAATGTTTGGGTACCACTGCTGTGTTAAAACATCATAATCAGAAGTAACAGGGAGGAAACAGTTTATTTCACCTTATAGCTTGTAAGTCTGTCACTGAGGGAAGTCAAGGCAGGATCCTGGAGGCAGGAGCTGATGCAGAGGCCATGGAGGGGTGCTGCTTACTGGCTTGCTCTTTATAGCTTGCTCAGTATACGTTCCTTACAGAACCCTGGACCACCTGCTCAGGCGTGGCACCACCCATAATGGACTGTGCTCTCAAAAATAGAAAATGCCCTAATCTTATAGGCTCAACTGTGGCTCCCTCCCTCCTCTCAGATGATTCTAGCTTGTGTCAAGTTGACATAAAAATTAGCCAGGACAGCTATCCTTAGCTGCATAGTTTGAATCCAGTCTAGGACACATGAGACCCTGTCTCAAGGTCAGAGTGAAAAAATAAGAGCTTTAGAGGACACCTGACCTCAGGTCTCCATACACACGCGAGCACACATATGTGTAGATTTGAGGAAGTATTAAATACAATCTGGGGGTTTAGCCCAGTTGGTAGAATTGTCTAACAAGGACGAGACCCCGGGTTCCATACCAAGCACCACGTAAAATCAGCTGTGATGATGCACGCCTGCAATCTCTGCACTCAGCAGGTGAAGGCAAGAGAACCCGGAGTTCAAGGCTATCCTCAAGCAATATAGGCAGTTTGAGGACCTGTCTTGAAAATACTTGGGCTGGACAAAGACGTCTGCTGCCAAACCTGAAGACACGAGTTCGATTCTAGGAGCACCCCACATGGTGGAAGGAGAGATCCGACTCCCCCCAAGTTGTTTTCTGACCTCCAAACACGCACCTCGGTGTACACACACACTGTAAAGACAAATGGCTAGGAAATAGTGAAAACCATGGAAACGTTAGCATAGGTGAAAGTGACAGTTAAGCGACTAAAGAGCTAATGCATAAATTAAACTGAGCTAGGCGCCCTCTGTAAATTCTGTTTCCAGAAGCCCGCTCTGCGATAAAACTCTGGCAGCACGTCTGAAGCTCCTCCCGCCACCTGTTCCACCGCCCGTAGCCCACCCGCGGGGCGGGGAGAGGGTGGAGCCCCGAGGAACGGAGAGGGTGGAGCCCCGAGGAGCGTGGCCAATGCGCCAGAGAAAGCATGCGGGGGGCAGGGCCCCAGAGGGGCGGAACCCTCGGCCGGCGGAAGGCGGAAGTGGCTGCAGCGTCACGTGACCCTGGTAACATGGCCGCTGCCCACTGAGCGTTGCCGGTTCCTGGCGGGAGCTGGTCGCGTGAGCGGTGGGGCTGTCCGGGTAGCGCGTGGGAGAGCAGGGTCCCGGCAGGGGACCTGAGGCGGCACGCGGCGGCAGAGACAAGGCAGGCGGGCCCGGGGCGGGGCAGCCCATGAGCGGGCTCCGGGGTCCGCGCCGAGCCGCACACTCCCCTTGCCCTGGCGCGGCCCCGGCAGCCTCGGACTAAGGTGTCTCGAAGCCCCCGGGCGCAGCGCGAGCTGCCACCATGAACCCGGAGAAGGATTTCGCGCCGCTCACGCCCAACATCGTGCGGGCCCTGAATGATAAACTCTACGAAAAGCGGAAGGTGGCAGCGCTGGAGATCGAGAAGTAAGAGCTACTGGGACCCCGCCCTGGCTATGCATCTGCAGGCGGCTCTGCTTGTCCCGGGCGAAGGTTCGGTATTGACCTCTCAGATTCCAGCTCTTAGCACATTGCTTTAGAGCGGGAAATCCAGGAGCCCCATCTTTGCCAAGTTCTTTAACCTCCTGGTGCCCCCAAATAGCGTCAGTGAAAATGAAACTGACTTAACGTATGTGCAGTACTTAGCACAGTGCCTGGCACACGGGGAATCCTCAGTGTGGCCTCAGCCAAAGCCAGCAAGATCAGAGAGTGGCCTCTCTGAAGGGATGGAGAATTTGATTGTGATGTTGTCCCGCCGGCCCTTTTCATCTTCTGAAGAGACCGTTAAGTGGCCAAGTGTAGAAATCAGGTCAAAGCATGCTGATCCGCTGCTCAGAGGATGGTCATGTTGAATCTTGAATCGTGTCACCCTTCCTTGAAAGTGTAATTGGGGAGATTTGACCTTCCCCTCTTCTGCAATATTGTATGTGTGTGTAATGGTGCATTGGTGTTTGCTTTGTTTCCAGGTGTTCGAAATAGGGAACGTTTAATTGGTAATGTTTTGCTGAGTATGTCTGTGTGAGCACGTGAAGTTCCCCCCGCCCCAAGCAAATCTTAGTGACAGTCAAGTGAGTAGGTGGTTTCAGAATAGTGGAAAGAAGCAGCCTGTGAAACTAGAAAAACATTAAAGTCTAGGAGCTTAAATATCCAATATGGTAACAACGGACTGTATGTATCTATTTAAATTTAAGTTGGCCAGACTGCTGACACAGGCCTGTAATTCTGGCACTTGGAAGGCTGAAACAGAGCTATTGTACAAGTTTGAGATTAGCTCGACCCAGTCTCAAGAAAAAGCAATAAATTAGTAAAAATGTTAAAATCATTTTAAATTAAAAATCAGTTTCACTACCCATATTCCAGGTGTTCAGTAGCCAACCACTACTGCTGCACAGTGCAGAACAGAAAACATTTGCGTCATTGCACAGTGCTCTCTCAGACAGCCCTAAAGCTATTGAGTAGTGCTCATTTATTGACCTAGGATAGATTATTTACTCAAGGTTTCTTAACCTCAGTACTGTTGATATTTGGAGATGCTTAATTCTTGGGTATAGTGGGCAGTTCTGTGCCTTGTAGGATTTTTAGCAGTACCTCTGCCCTTTACCCACTAGATGCCAGTAGTACTCCATCAGTTGTGACAACCCAAATTGTCTTCAGACATTGCCAAAAGTCCCTTGAAGGTACAAAATCACACCAGTTGAGAGCAGCTGCTTTGTCGTAAACTAATGGCTTTGGACCTAGGTAAGAAGACCCTCCCATTCATCTGTAGTACTCAGAATGTCCACCCCAGCTGTTTCTTTCCTCAGCCACCACTTTTTTTGAACTACCTCTTTTTTTTTTTTTTTTTTTTTTTTCCCTTGGTTTTTTGAGACAGGGTTTCTCTGTGGCTTTGGAGGCTGTCCTGGAACTAGCTCTTGTAGACCAGGCTGGTCTCGAACTCACAGAGATCTCCCTGCCTCTGCCTCCCGAGTGCTGGGAGTAAAGGCATGTGCTACCAACGCCCAGCTGAGCTACCTCTTTTCATACAGCTTTGTGTTTACAACCTTGCTTTCCAGTGCCTAGCAAGTCTTAACAGGATTTGCTGTGCTGAAAGTGGGACCCAAAGATGGTGTATAGGCGTGGTTGCGGTCCATGTTCTCTGTTGGCTTTGTAAAGTTGCACTGTCAGCTTTCCATTACTATACAAACACTTGAGATTTGAATGGATGGGGTGATCTCTGGTCAATTGATTCTGTTGCTTTTGGGTTTGTGGTGAAGCCCTTTGAGGACACCCCCCAAAAGAGCTCTCAATAAGCCCAACTCTAAAACCCTGTCATCTCCAAACAGTGCCAGGCTGGGGGGACCTTTGAGAAACAACTAAGATCCAGACCGTTGCACACTGACAGCAGTTTTGTCCACCCACTCAGCTTCACAGAAGTACCTACTTTTCTCCTGACCTGAGTGAGTTCTCTGTTAGGTCCTTGATCAAGGCTGTCACAACATCAGTGCTTCCAGCACAGTCTTATAAGTATTCCCTGCAGGTGGTTCTGTGGGAGCTTTATTGTTAATTAGACACTGCCCTTGATTTCTAAGATTCAGAGAAAATTCTTAGGTCCTTAAGAGGGTTATGACCTCATAAGAGCAAAGACAGTTTATTTATCTTCTATACTTAGCCCGGTGCCTAGTGGCATTTGACACATGCCCACAAGAATGAATAGCTTTTCAGTTTTGATAGGAAAGTAGCATTATAGCTTAAGGACTTTGCTACCCAAGAGTGGCCTGCAGACAGCTGCTGAGAAGAGACTCTAGCTTCATCCTAAAGTGAATTAGAATTGGTACTTAAACAAGACCCCTGCATGACTGTTGCACATATTAAAGTTTGACAAGTGCTATCTTCAAAGGCCCTCTGTTCTGTCCATAGAATGTTCCATATTTGCATATATTCTTCATCAAACTAATCCTCAGCCAAATAGTCTATTAATCAAGCCCCACAAACACCCCATAAAAGTCAGAACATTGGCAGTTGCCTCTGGAGTGTGGACAGTTCATGTGCTACAGAAGTGAATGTGCTTGTCCTATTCTTAGGTGAGTGGCCCCTCCAAAGTACACTATTTCTTAAAGAGACCATGTGGAATAGTGGGTAAGAGCACCAAAGTCAGGTAGTTGGGCTTCTGACTCTTATTCACTAATTGGGTGAGCCTGAGCAATCTAATTAACCTCAATGTCCTCATTGGGGCATTTGATTACTAGAGTTAATGTTGTTAAAGTGCTTAATGCAGCACTAGACACAACGAAACTGTTATATAATGTACAAACAGCGGTTACATAATTATTTTAAATATTTATGATTGTTTTATATCAGTACTGCTCTTGCCACTTTTTGGTTTTCAAGATAATGGCCTTCAGAAGATACCTTAGTCCCTGGAACCTGTGAATATGTGATTTAAGATAGCAGATATGAGCCTGAGAAGATGGCTCAGTGGGAACATTAGTTCTTTTTCTGTTGTTGCAGTAAAACACCATGATCTAAAATCAGCTTTTGGAAGAAAGGGTTTGTTTTGGTTTATGGTTTCAGAGGGGAAGTCTGTAATGGCAGGGGATGCATGGCAGCCCACAGCTGAAACAGGAAGCTGAGAAATCACATCCCCATCCACTTGTATAAAGCAAAAAGAGCAAACTGCAAGTAGGATGAGACTGTGAACTTTGAAAGCCTACATCCAGTGACATATGTTCAGCAAGACTCCACCTCCTAAAGGTTCCATAGCTTCCCCAAACAGGGCCACCACTGGTGACCAAATGTTTAGGTATGCAAACCTGTGGGGGATATTTCTCATTCAAATACCACAGTGGGAAAAGTCCCTGCTATGCCAGCATGAGAACCTGGAATTGGCCGCATACACCCAGAACCCCAGTGCCTGGGCTTACTGGTCAGTCTGTCTAGCTGGCACAGTGAGCTCCAGGTTCAGTGAGAGATCTGGTCTCAAAAACTAAAGTTCTACTTATGTCCCCTGTAATGGAGACAAATGCCCAATGTTAGCTTCTAGCCTCCACATGCACCCAAGTGTAGCTGGACATGTCCCTGTTACATATCACAGAGCCAAGGGATGGGAGGGGGGGTAAGCAAATACAAGCAAAGTTGCTAATCAGATGACTTTAAAATGGGGAGAGTAGCCTAGATTACTCAGGTGAACCCAGTCTAACCCCAAACATCCTTTAGTGGGAAAGAGGGAACCAAGAAAGGACATTAGAGACTCCAGCAGCCATCACTGGCTTTGAAGTTCTCAGGGGCAGCTAGCCAAAGAATGTGGGCATCATCTGTAAGCTGGAAAGAAGGTGGAGTTGCCTGTAGAGCAGTGGTTCTCAACTTTCCTAATGCTGTAACCCTTTAATATAGTTCCTCATGTTGTGGTGACCCCCATCCATAAAATTATTTTCATTGCTACTTCATAACTATAATTCTTCTATTGTTATGAATTGCAGTGTAAATATGTGATGTGCAGGAAATATGATGTGTGACCCCCAAGGGGCTTATGACCCCCAGGTTGAGAACTGCTTCTGTAGAGCCTCAAATATAAAGCAACTTGCCCATACCTTGATTAGCTCAATAAGACCCATAGTAAATTGTGTCTTGAGCCTCTAAGTTTGTGGTAAAATGTAACAGTAGCCAGTAGAAAACTGGTACAACTCTGGGAGATACTGGTGATAAAGCTTCATGAGCAATACAGTGTTTGTCTAGAAACTCTAGACCCACACACCTGCCCCCTCCAAGGCCTTGAGCACCATGGAAGAAGGAAGCCACCTTCACATCATGCCATCTCTCAGGAAGAGACCGAAGGCCTGGCTGCCCACTAGGTTTGCCCCTGGCTTTCCTAGACCAAGCAGGAAGCCCACAGCTTTATGGACAGCTGAGCCCAGTAGTCAGTGAGATACGATTAGGACCCTTTAAAGTACAGCTCCAGAGAATGGGATTCAAATTCCAAAGGCAGAACAAGAGACTGCTTGTGGCATTCGAGGAGTCAGGAGTCTCAGGCTTCCCTAGTTACTCTATTTGAAACTGCCCACTGAGTGGAGTGCAAGATGAGGAGAAGTAATGTAAGCTGAGAAGTGTTAAGTGTGTTTGAGCTCTTCTCAAAAATCCCTAAGTGCACAGATAGGGTTAGAATAGTCTGCCCCTGCTGCTCTAACAAAATACCACAGCTGGTGGCTTCAGTGATAGCCATTCACTTCCCATTGTTCTAGCTAGGGTCTGGGCCTTTTCTCCACATCTTGTAAAGCTGGAGTATAAAAAGCACCAGGTCACTATGGTCATCGGTGGGCACAATGAAACCTGAGACCACACATGTGTCAAGTTCCATCTGCCACACTACCTGGGGGAGAAGTGGGACACAGAGGGACATAGAGAAGCATCCCTGTGTTTAGCCACTGTCCACCCACCCCTCGTCTCACTGCCCT